GATAGATAGATAGATAGATAGATAGATAGATAGATAGATAGATAGATAGATAGATAAGGTTATTTCAAGCCTAAAACATTTTAATATTGTTCTGTCAATTTCACAGGGAGCATTAATATTTATCCCCACTAATTAAGAGAGACAGTTCTGCATCATTGGTGCATCCATTTATTGTAACATTCAAACACTAACCTTTCACTAAGGAATCAGATTGGGAGGGGGAACTTTTGCTACCATCTGGTTCTTCAAGAGATATGCTTGTTTCAGAATTGTTCCTCTCATTTTGGATCAACTTGACACTCTGTCAATGATAACAAGATTTTAAATAAGACTTATTTTTTTTCTAAATGAAATGGAACAAATATAATGCAATCCACAAAAGATATTGTTCCTCAACAGAAACTCACTTCCTTCATAGCCACGAAAGGCAGTGCTTTCCTTTGTTGATATGCTTCTTTATCTTCTACCGATAAAATACTTTTAGTACAAAAAGAATTTTCATCAGATTCAGATGCAACTGATGAATGTTCCTGTGCAACGTCAAAGATCTTCTCATAGTGAGTGATCAGAAGTTCTACCACTCGGGCTTGATATGGATAGTCCACAAGTGAAGATAGTGAAAGTGTAGCATCTGTCTGACGTGGTCTGATCAAAGTTGGACCAAATATAATGCCAAGGTTGCTGGCAGACATTTTATTTTCATGAGACTGTTCACTAACTCTGTATAAAAGAACAGAAAATTCACAAAAGTTTTGAGTGTACCAACAAATATTTGTACAAATATGTTTTTAACTGCCAACCAACATTAATCATGGCATAGGATCTAGATACCTGAGGGACTACCTATCACCAATAGTTTCTGTCCTTTCAGGATGTTCCAGCAGAGAAGTGTGCCTTCTCTGTTACACCCCACCTGCTGCCTTCAGATACAGCATCCCCACACCAAAAAAAAAAAAAATGGACAGTGCCTTCTCTCCTGGGTTCTGAAAAGCCCTCAACACCTAGCTTTGGTCTCAGGTCTGGGGTTAATGTGTGGTTGTAATTCTCTGTTACTATAATGGTTGTTTTAGTCCAAGCTGTGTTGTTGTATGTTTCTGAACTGTTTTCATTGTTTTTAGATTCTGTAAGCCACCCTGAGTCTTACAGGGTGGGTAGCTATAACAATTTTAAGCAATAAACGAACAAATAAATAAATAAAAAATCTCTGTATTAAACTTTATAATTAACATTAATAGGGTAAACATAACAAGTCACTAAATAGAAAGGGATATTATTTTCATTACTACATGTATTACTGGGGAATGTCTAATCATAGGTGCTGGTTGACTTGGAATTCTCTTACCTGTATAGATGACCTAAAAGAAACTGCAGAGTGTTATAGTTCGCTGCAGGCAGTAATTTCAGTAGATCTTTGATTTTAAGTAAGATCCTATTCAATTCAATACAAATGGATTGCCTTTTGTTTGATTTTGGGCTCATCTGCTTCATATCAAATTCCTCATTAATATTCTGGCTTTCCTTCGCAAGTCCAATGAATTCATTATAAAGTCGAAACAAAATCAAAGGTTCAGGGAGCTAAGGGAAAGAACATCAGAAATTCATTTGAAATTTTATCTTAACTTTGTCTGTGTCCTTTTCATTTGTCTAGTCTTTTTCTGGAAAGCTTCTGAATTATTTTTTGAATGATCTCATCTAGTCCCTGCATAATTAGCATACTGCAAGCAATTCATGTAGCACTGCTGAGGAATTCCACTTGTTATAGCTTAGATTTTATTAACTCTTCTATAGGTGTTTTTAAGTTTTGCTTTGTATAAATGACCAATTTTGTTTTATTTACTTGTAAAAAGTTCCTAAAAATAAAAAAACCTGTTAGATAGTTATTAATCAGTTAAATCACAGAGCAAGAGAACAATTATCTTGGATAGAGGGACTAGATACTTGTTGATTGGGTTCATAAATTACATTAAGCCGACTTAAACTGTGATTTGTCCAACAATAATCAGTGTTTGCCAAAAGAAAACCAAGCACTTAGAATAATAGATGAACTCAGCTACTATGTGTGTCAATCTGAGTAGGTGGAAAGGGCAAGTGAGAGTATGTGAATGGGCTCACAAATATGACTGGCTACTGACATGGCAATCAGTGCAATTCAGGAGCTAAAAAGGCTGCCCACTTAAGGAATGAAGAATGGATCCAAAGTAAGGAGACCAATGAATTCCCCATTCAGACTCATAGCCTGTGTTTATATGACACATCTGAACCTGTCAGCTGTTTACTAGGGTAAACATGTGCCACAGTGCACAATCACTACCATCCCATCAAAGCAAATACTTCATACTTCCCAGATTTCACTGAAAAGAAGCTCTGCAACTGTTATTTTCAAAATTGATGCTAGTATGCAATCAAACACTACTGCAAGATGTATTACATTTTAGGAAATGCTGGTAAGGGATAATGGAAGTCCAATATATGTGAAGGTTAATGTAGTTAATCACTATTCACAAGGCCCCATCTTTTTGCCTCCTCACAATACAGCCAATTCTCTTGACTCATGGACTATAAAATATCATAGTTTAAAGAGTAACTTCCACTGTTTTGGCATAAGTAGTAATAACTGCAGCATTTATCTTAAACTTATTAACAACTACACCACAAAGAACAGCAAAAAATAGTAAGACTGGCATAATATCTGAACATCAGTGAAGCAGTTAAGAGATAAACAGAAGAGATGGTGTAACAGAATCTTGAATTGCAATAGAGGGGAATCATGTTAGTCACTGCAGAAATAGATGACACGGAAATTATTATGCATTTATGTTTCACTATAATGTAATATTGTAATGAAGTATTTGAGATGTAATTTCAAAATGGACTGTTTATAGTGTCTTAGTATTATGCATCTTACATTTATAGAGTTGCTATATTAATAAAAATGGCAACTCTTTTTTTAAGAGTATCCTGCCTGTCAATATTAGCATAGGCCCCAGTTCTATATTCTCATAAGGTAGGTTGCACATTTTTGAGCCTTCTATTAAAGCATGATTAGACATTTTTTTTGTATGTCAGAAGCTAAATGAAGATGGTAAAAACAAGAAGTGCTGGGTTTTTTGTTCAAAAATTTATTCCCTCCACATTTTCTTAAACTTCTTTCCCATTTTTTCCAGCTAATTTCCTCCATCTACTAATTCCATGTTAATCAGACTTAAAACAGCTAATTTTAATTAACCTGACAAAAATCAGTGACAATGAGAAAACAGTAGCAATCTAATTTTAAGAACTATTACTTGACTGTTTTCCATCTTTCCAATACAAGCAACAAAGCCAAAGGATAAAAACTCGCAATCACCTTAATACTGGAGCCTTCACAAAAAGCTACACAACAAACATGTCCACCTTAGCAAATCTCCCAACATACAAATGTGTTAGAGTAAACAAGATAATAATGCATATTTACCTGGCGAAGATATAGTTTAAGGACATTACTTATATCATGTGCATAGAGCTGGGATAATTCTACCAAATCTTTCCCATTTTCAAATGCCTGACAAAGTTTTTCAACTCTGGATTTGGCTCCATTCACACGGTATATCCCCTTAAATATGAGAAAAAGTCATAAATAATTGTAAAACCAAAATTTTAATGGTTTTGAAGAGAGGCATTTGAAAAGCAGTATGAATCTTTACCTTGACATTTAAGGCTCTGCTTTCAATTTCAGAGGTACACTTTTTTATGATGAAGGGGATACCATCTGGACTATTTTTAGCAGCTTGAGTAAATTCTACCCCAAACAAATGAAGCCTTCCATGAAGCTTTTTATGTCCACACTGAATAGCTAAAGTCTCCAAACACTTTTTGTGACAGGAAAGTGAACACTAAAAGAAGCACAAAAGAAATGAGTCATTAAAAAACAGGGCAAGGGCATATAGCATCTACTGTTCAGCTTATCACCTAACCTCATGCTTATTTAAAGCATTTAGCCTCTTTAAGCCAGTTCACAGTGACTTTATACTATTTTAAACATTTTTTAATAGTTACCAGCTGAGTGTTTTATGAGCAAAATAGCAGGATATAAATAGTAAAAATAAATGTATATATAATGCATATACAATTCAGAAAAGGCAGCCATTCCAGTATGTTGGATTCAAAGCTGCTCTTAAACATGAGGCATAATGAAGATTTCTCCCATAAACCTATCTGCCAAGCCTAATAAATCACTGGAGAAGGAACGTCATTTATATTATCTTGGCAAATCTACTGTCAAGCTGGTAAGACAAATTGACACCACTCTCTCTGGCACTTCAACTTCCCCATTGTAGTTTCACGTCCAGTGCACCTCACAGTCATGTAAGCCACAGGGTTATGAAATCATATGATTTGCATGCAGTAACTAGAATCTGCCACAAGACATTATAAGGAAGCCAAAAGGTGTTCGGATTTCCAACCTCTTCACATTCTGCTCCATGGAATACCACCAGACTATCGCATTCCCTGCATTTAGATGGAGCCCTCAGTTTCCGGAGTTTGTGTGTTTGTGCTGCCTTAGATAGGAGAATGTTTCGAAAAGGTCCAGGAGAACTGGCAATTTCAGCTGCTAGATCATTTAAACCTTAGAATAAAAAGGTCTATTGTTAGCTCTTCAGGGTGCAAGAAATACACGCTAATATATTCACTTACTTATCCTATGAAATGGTATTCTATCAAGAATACATATAATTTGTTCAGTCAAGTAAAGCCATCTATATTTTTGCTTATGCGTTCATATGCAAATTATCTGTTCAAAAATATGATTTAGCATTTATCTACACATTTAGGAAAAAAAAATTGTGTGGCAACTTAAATTGCAAAACAATTATGACATAGGTTTAAGCCAGAGACCATATTACCAGAAGCTTTAATTGTTAACCAAAGTTGCAAATGTACTTTATATATCTCATGGACTCTAGTCCATGAAAGCTTATTCTGTAAGGTTAACCTTTCAGGTATCACAAGACTCACTGTTATTTTGCTTCAAGAGACTAATACGACTGTTCCTCTGGAAATTGTTCAGACTGTTTAATGGGATCATAATATATGAGAAAATAAAATGCTCACTGCACACAGGAAACACGCATGTCAGGGAAAAAATAGCCCACAATCCTTTTCTCTCTACTCAGTGATATTCTACCACCATTTAATCACACTGTAGTATTGTAGCGAGTCACAAAGATGACCTTGGAGAAACTATGTGGCAACAGTTACAAAAACATGTTTTAAGCCTGGGAAATGAAGAAAACATTAGAAATAAACTTAGTCTGACTCTTAACTCGTTGGGGTATGAGACCCTAATCCTGAGCAATCCTGTGGAAGACTGTTATCTATCATTTTGTCATTAGATTTTTTTTCGTGGGGGGGAATTGCTCACAATGCTTCAATGTCTACTTTTGAAAAAGTTAAGTCATAGATTTCTATATACTCAATCATTATTTGTTGGTTTTGAAATCTCTACCAGCATTATTACCCCCCCCAAAATCCCTGCTTATTTAATTCCATCTTCTATCAAACATGTGTTTACCAGATGTATCAGCCTTTTAAGCAGAACAGCTAAGCTTCATTTTTGCAGAAGAATTCCTGTACTTACCGAAATGTATTCTTTCAGATCAATAAATGTATACATTTGCTTAGAAGAGATAAACATGCCCATTATCTACCCTTCTGTTTCTAACAAAGTTCAAGAATCAAAGAAAATCAGGACCGCAAAGTGTACTTATAACAAATGATAAATTCAGCTTAGAATTATATTACCACAGTCAGAAGGTGAAGGTGGCTCTCTTTCATCAAGATCGTCTGCAGATGACATGGTACCTGTAGATGGTGTACGAGGAAGCCTTCTTTTAAAGTCACCTACTAAAGAGCCAAGACATTGACAATCTAAGCCCATCTGTTTCATTTCTTTTGCTGAACAGTATTCAAAATTCATTAAATCACAGCAATAGTATTAGCATTGAAAAATAATATATGTACCTGGGCTAGCAGATGGAGAATCCACAGATCGTGACTCACTGCTTCCTCCTGCACTTTCAGAATCACTGCACATTCCTCCACTTTGATTACCAACTGACCAGGATCTGAAAGGTGGTGGACCTCGCACAGCTTTAAAGGAGGAGGAGAAATAGGTTTAATGAGTTCAGGTTCTTCAGATATAAAACAAAATTTATCCTGCTTGTCACAGCTTATGCACAATTTTTAAAAATTAAAATGGAGGCACCCTTTATTGTACTAGAATAAGAACTATACATCCTCTCTATGTCTGTACAAGCCACTGTTCTGGTTGGGCATGCTCTGCAAGTGGCAACTTTGGTGCACCCATCCAGTGGGATAGCCTGAATCTTATCTATGGCAGAACAAAGTAGTCCAAGATGAGTTTGAATGCAAAGCCAGAACAATAAGTCAGAAATGCAGTTATAGAAATTTTGCTCACAGGGAAGTTGAAATTGATGGACATCAAGCTCAATATCTGCATTCAGGCAGACCCCAATTACATGTTTCCTGGAAACCCACAAAAAGGACTTGAAAACATGAGTACCAATTCTTGAACAATCAATCATTAGAATAGTGCCTCTGAGCTATCTTCAATAAACAAACTGAAATAGACAAATACTAAATACATAATTGTTCTGATATTAAATTGCACATATTTCAACATTTTTCTACATTTACTGCTTGACTTTTGTCCCATTTCTTTAGAGAGGAATTAAATTATTTATTTCTATATATATAATTATTTGTTTCTATATATATAATTATAATTTATTTCTAAAAATAAATTTCTATTCATATTTCACTCCTGTTTGCTAAATTATTAATGTTAATTGAAAAGTGTAAAATTCTTACATCCCAAAACTAAATTATGAGCCTTAATCATCTTTCACTTCCATTGATTACCTTGACCTATGTACAGATATCCTATTGAAGACAACAAAAACATAACATACAATAAAAATAATACATTAGAATATTGGCAGTGGACTGATCATAGTGATCTATTAAAGTTGTTTACTTAACTACATATATGATCAAGTATTACCAGAGATATCTGTACTGCTTGAAGATCTTTTGTCTCCAATCTTTTGGGAGCGAAGACAGACTGGGCTTGTAATATCATCTAGTGACTGAATAGGATAATCTCCTGAGCACTGAGATATGCTTCCTTGTGATGCATGGGCATTGTTTGATTGTTTACTGAAAACCCTGTGAAAGGGAACAAACCATTATTTGGAATTACAATGTTTCCCCAATTAAGAATAAATCAACACCTTACACTTTCCTTCAAGATTTTAAAAGCTTAAGTACAGAGCCATAACCATAAATACCCAGCTTCCTGAAACTTTCTTAATGACTTTCAACAACCTGGTAGGCAGAGATTCAATCCACAAGTTGGAGAACTAACCTAGCAGCACACTCTGCTCAATTTCTCAGGATCAACAGGCTCAAACTGATCCCAAGATATGGGTTCTGTCATTTCAGCTTCCAACTTGTAGTGAATGATGCTATAAGAACTCATTGTAACGGAGAGCAGGCACTCTTTCAGCCCAGCATTCTCCAACGGGGTCTAGGTAACTTTAAACAATACTGCTGGGCAGCTATTCAGAGGAGTACACCTACTCACTCAAGTGTATTACATGCAGCCCTCCTCAAACTTGCACTCCTGGGGGAGCACTCCACTACCACTCTCTGCCTTTCAATTCCCCAACCTTTCCTCTCCAAAATCAAACTAATCACTATGACTTCACTTCCCCAACTCTTTTGTTAATTAATTTTTATTAAATAAATTAGATTTAATAAATTTAACCATATCTTGAGCCAGTTCTGAAGCATTAATGACATATACTCAGCTTCGCTTATGCTACTGATTAATATGCAAAGATCAGGATAAAGTAAACAGAAGTATAATCCTCCAAGCTTGAATGGACTCTGGGCAAGAGACACTTATCAATAAAAATGATGTTTACAATGAAATATGCAATATAGTCCAACTCTAAGAAGTGCTCCCATTCAGAATGTTGGGTTTTCTCCAAAATCCTATGATCCTACATAGACACCAGCACACAATTCTACCTGTTTTGTTTCTCTGCCACTCAACATTCTATGATTGAGCTGAGCATGCTCAGTCTTCCATTTCTAGTTAAGTTTTTGAATTGGCTGTGATTTTGAATTTTTTGGCAGTGACTGGCTGTCATTTAACACCGACCAACTAGAATTATGAACTTATCTACCCCCCAATCTGAGAAAAAAGTAGTAATTATCTGAGCAACTTTGATCACGGACAGGTAGAAAATCTTCAAAAAGACTGATAAACATATAAGGATATAGGAAATAGACAGCTCTAGCAGGGAAAAAAGACAAAGATGATTTTTACTTAAAAAAGAAAAAAGAAATAGAACTATAAAGTGTGTTGCATACAACCAAGAAATCCAAATATTTCATAGGCATACAACCAGTAATCCAGCAATTCAAGCTTTTATTCCTTTATCTACATTTCTTTAACATTCTGTTCACATTTACTGCCAAGTACACAATAATATATCTGAGCTCTCACCCTCCAACCTGGGAACTTTGAGTTTCAAAGCAAACAGATTCAGTAGGAACATCATATTTTGGCAAATTCTTCACAAATTCAGAGAACTTTTTTCCTGGATCATACAGCTTGGCACTCTCACAAAGGGACTGACAGTTGACTGGTAGGGAGACAACTTGGGCATGCTGCATCTGGAACAGGTTAACTGTTGCCTATGTGGAAGATAATTTAATTTATTTCAAGGAGCATACATTTTAAATAGCTTTCCTTTCTTCTCTACCATTTACAGCACACTGTAGCGTGGGATGAGACACAAGAAATCTAAGTTAAAAAAAATCTGTAAAAAAGTTGAAAAATGAAACTTTCATGTTTGAGAAATCAGTGTGTGTGTCTCTGTGTATCTGCTATGCAACATACTGTTGTAGTAGGGATATCTTAAAAAGTTCTTTAACATCAAAATTAGAATTTTCTATTTTTAAAAAGGCAATATAAACCAGCTTCCCTTTAATATGTATCTTATATTATGT